AGATAGGCTAGCCTCTTATAAATTCTCTTATTAGTTCTTAATATCTTTATTTAAGCTATAATATCTCTATTTATAAAATAGTATATAATCTAATTATATAATTTAGTAAATATATTCTTAAGATTTTCTATAATAATATAGCCTATTTCTTTTTAATAGCTAGTTCTTATATTTTAAATTATACTTTATAGCTTAAGTATTTCAGGACTTTAATTCTAGTCTAAATAATACTATTTTTACTTATATAATATTTATATGAATTTCTGCTTCTTTTTATATAAGGTTTCTAAGGTTTTAGATATATAATATATTAGCCTTAGCCTAAGCTATAATAGCCTATATCTTAATTTCTTTCTTTTTAAGTCTATTAATTAATTTACCTAAAGTAGTTAAGCCTTTAACTATTTTATATACTTATCTCTTTTATTTGCTTTAGCCTTTAGGCCTCTTAATTCTTCTTTAATAGTTTTTATAAATTACTAGGCTATTTCCAGGTTTATTTCTAGGCCTATTACTTAATTTTTAAAGACCTCTAATTATTTTCCGTATATATTTCTTGTTATTAAATAATTATATACTAGGAACTAGATTATATTAGCCGGACTAGTTATAAAAATCTAAACTCTAATAATTAATAAGTAATTGAATTATACTATAATTCTTTTATTATATTTCTAAGATAAGGAATTATATAAAATATATTTACTTAAAAGATATTAATTCGGAAGCAGGCATTCCCTTATTACTACCCTATATATAAATTTCAGGAGTTAGTTCTCAAGTATTTATAGTATTTTAAAAACTATATATAGCTTAAATATAAGATTAGTCTTTAAAAATAAAAGAATCTCCTTATTATTTCATCTTACTAAGTTACTTCTTTCTTTAAGCTTCTCTTATTAGGATATTATAGTTATTTTATTTTATCTTAAATTATACTTATTTTACTTGGCTTTATATAGCTATTTTCTTTATTTCTCTTAATTATAGTCTATTTTATAACTTATTTCTATAATAGTATTATTTTTTATTATAATTATATTTATTTATTATCTAATATTACTTACTTATAGAATAAGAGCTACTATTAAAAATAGAATAGAAAGCCAAGTTATATTATATAATTATAAGATATTAAACTATAATATATATAAATTTTTAAGGAAAGAGGAAGTTTAAGAGTTAGTTAGATTAACTAGTCTAATTCAAATATTTATAATTTCTCTTCTTTTATATAGATCCTAGATTATTTATATATCTTATATAGAAGTATTTAATATAGTAATATTTAACTAAGAAGTACTTTCTTATTCCTATCTTTTTATTAGACCTTATTATATACTCTATAATTTAATTAAACCTAATAGTTTTTAGAATCTTATATTTTAAAACTATTATTATTTATTCTTTTTATTCTTTAAAATATTTCTTTATATTAGTTATTAATTTTTCCCTTAATATTATTTTATTATATTCTATAAATATAAATAATTAGATATATTAGATTTCTATTTCTTGCTTTAGGGCTTTAATAATACTATATTATCTAGATATATTATAGTTATAAGACTTGAGTATAAGAAATAAATAGTATTTTGCCTTATTTTCTAAAAATATTAACTGGACCTCAAATATAGGAAATAATTAGTATCTATTCGAAAGTTCTAATATATAAATCTCGAGTAACTAGTATTCTAAATCTACTAATATTAGACTTAAAATATTTATTTATTATAAGTTAGTAATAGGGAATATTCTATAGTTATATCCTATATTTCTATTCCGGAATATAGGCTTGGGAAAGAACTATTACCCTGAAATATTAGTTATAGCTATATTTGAAATCTTATCTTAAATATATATAGCAGGAAATAAACTTTTCTTATTTATTAATTCAGGCTTAGGAAATAAAGGCCTCTTATTTTATATATCTCTATTTTGGAACTCGATTTTAGGAAAGAACTAGTGGTCTGGATTATTTATTAAAGCTAGACTCTAAATATCTATATCTTGCAAGTTAGTTATAAGAAATAATTAATATTCGTTTCCCTTATTTCTTAATTCTGGTACCGGAAATAACTAATAGTTATCTAATATACTTACTAAGCTATATTCCGTCTAGTTCTATAGTTCGTTACCTTTGACTTCCAAGTTACTTTATCTAAGTTTAGAAGAATAAACTGGCTCTAATACTCTTTTATTTCCTATAATAATTCCGAGCTTGCCCTTAGTTCGGGTAATATTACTAGTATATATTTAGATAATCTTATTAATTAAGGAGATGCTATAAATTTATATAAAGAGCTATTAGTATAATTCCCGGCTTCTTGCCTAACTAATGCCACTTATTTAGGGGCTGCTATATTAGGTCTATTAGGTAATACGGGTCCTGGTAGTATATATTCCAGAGGTACTACTAGCTTAGTAAAAGTAATAAATAAAGCTAATAGTATAAAGTCTCAGCTACTAGGCACCTAGCTAAAAAATATATTAAGTAAGTCTTGCTAGATAAATAGGATAAATAGGTTAAGACTAGATCCGGCTCGGACCTAATAGAGGCACGGCAGGAATAGCTATATTCGAAACTATTTATATATATTTATATATAGTATATTACTTCTTTATTTAATAATCTCGCTATTATTATCTTCTATAAAAGGCTTGGGGATTTCGACTATTTGTGATGTGTGTAGGGTCGCACGTGACTTAAGGGCATGTAACGAACCTCGGATATCGCAGGTGTCGATCAGGGAGTTCGGCAGCCCTTTAATATCCCAACTAACCACTGTTTATATCATATGCATTAGGCTTATAAATCACTAATTATATGTATGCCATCGGGGCCTCCTATTTAGAGGGGGCTTCCCTGGACCTTACAGGAGGGACAAAGATTAGTTCTGTACTGAATTTAATACTGTAGTTTCACAATATACTAATTTATTCTATTATCTTATTGCCTACTAACAAACACCTCACACTATTAGATCCTTAGCCCTCCTCTATTTATTCTCTATCTTCTTTATACTAAAACTAAGCGAGCAAGTATACTATAAAAACTGAGCTCTATAAGTAGGGCTCTCTAATATAGAGATAACCCCGATAGGATAATTAGAATCCTACTTCTGCTTCTTAGAGCCTTGCTCTATTAGTAAAATATACTTGCTAAGGTTTGGGAATTACCGGAGTATAGTAAGGAGTACCTATATAAAGCAGAACCGAGTAGCTATATCTGGCCGCTTAAGGGTAATAGCCCTAAACTCCCTTCCTTGAAATTTCTCTATAGTTATCTCAGATATAATCTAGTAAGTATATATAGCCTTATAGATTAACTTTAGTCTTTCGTTAAGAAGAAGGGTCTGAATAATATTTGCTCTTATATAAAGGTAAATATAGTTCTTATAGAAGGCCTTAATTATTAGAATAAGGACTTAGAAATATAAGAGTACTCGTTTAATTAAGCTCTTTTTTGCCTAATTTATAATTTCGGGGAAAAGATTACTTTGGTTTAATGAATAATCTATTTACTAATTAATATACTAGTAGTTAATAATATTAGTAGAAAGGGCTTGCAGGTATAGATTCTTAATTATCTGGATATCTAATATCTCTCGAATATCTGGTTCTCCTAGTATAATTATATCTTATATAATATAAATATACTTTAAATAGCAGATTATTTCTTTATTATAATATATAGCTAAATCTTTATAGATATTACTAAGATAAAGGTTATTTTATAGCCTAGGGAAAAAGAAGAGGCTATCTAGTATATTTACCAGATCTTTATAGCTAAGTAGTCGAGATAAGAGGCCCTACTTATTTGGACTCAGTTATATTATCTAGGCCTCTATACTTTCCTTTTCGGAAAGAAGGCCGTAATACCGGACCTTCTAATATATTTCGCCGTCTGAAGCTCGATATAAATAGTTAAGTTATTCGGATTACTTCCTTAAGAATACTAATTTGAGAGGATCTATATCTTACTAAGTAAGACTTACTTAGTACTAACTAGATACAGAATTAGTAGTTAGTTCCGTACTTATAATTCGGCTTAAAAGAATATAACTTTATTATTTACTAATAGTTACTCTTGCTATAATAGTACTCGGTAGCCTTTAGTTAATATTGCTTATTAAAGTAATATATTATTACCCCTGCCATATTAAGCCTGGGATAGCTCGCTCCGGGCAAGAGAGACGCTTAAAGATTATTACTAGATAATTGGGAAGCCTATAGGATATGGTCTAGCTCTATTAAATCTATATGGGCCGAGATACGGCTCTATAGGTCATATTATAAGTAGCCGGTACCGTTTCTAAATAATTGCTTTACTTTAGTAATATAAGAGACTTCTTTCCTTAATACCTTATAGAATACAAGAGAGGAGATATCTACTCGGACTCTCCCGACTAAGTATTTATTAAGTAATAAATAATATTCGTATTCTTTATTATCTATTACTATTAATATAATAAATGACTATATCTCCTTTATATCTGGTCCGCAGACTAAATAGTAGGGTTATATATAGCAGGTTTGGCCTGTACCGGTTTACTAGTAATTTTATACTAGTAAAGCGAGATCTAAACCAGGAATCATATAACTAAAATAAAGTTTTATAAAAGGGGTTTTAAGAATTAAGGAAAACGCCTTGGTATTCTGCTGGCTAATTAATAAAAGTAATTAAGCAAGTTTACGGACTTAATAAAGTTCTATAGGAAAGATACTCTGACTATATATATAGGGGGATAAAATCTGAGATTCTTGATATCTCTTAGTATGTTCCGTGAATTTCGGCCCGGCCTGCTTCGGCCCACGCCGTTTATTATAGCCTAACCTGTATTTAGCTAATATATATGAGGTAGCACGAAGAATAGAAAAATACGCGACGTAACATCGATTAAGATCGGCCTGACTTGTCACGAGTATCCTGCCTAGGCTGGTTCGCTACGCAGACTGTGGCGCACGATGAGCTTAGCGCACGATGGTTTTGGCGTACGATGAGCTTGGCGCACGATGAGCTTGGCGTACAATGGTTTTGGCGCACGATGAGCTTGGCGTACGATGAGCTTGGCGCACGATGGCTTTGGCGTACGATGAGCATGGCGCACGCCTGGGTTTGGCGGCCGCTGGGTTTGGCGGACGATGGTTTGGCATACGATGGTTTGGCGCACGCTGGCTGGTGGCGCACGCTGGGTTTGGCGGGGTGTGGCGTACGCTGGCTGTGGCGCACGATGAGTTTGGCGTATGATGGTTTGGCGTATAATGAGTTTGGCGTACGCTGGGTTTGGCGGACGCGGGTGTGGCGTATGCTGGCTGTGGCGCACGTGGCTGTGGCGTGGTTTGGCGCATAATGGTTTCAGTCTGTAATAAATCACGTGCTAAATAAGTGCGCCACGAAAATGGCTTAGCTCTATTCCGAATATTTAATTATCAAATTTCTAGATAGGAGATTCAAGATTTTGGGTATCCACTTCTGCGTATCCCCTGTCGGCACAGGGGATTGACCCACACAACAGATCTGCCAGTAAGAATCGGACCCGTGGCGCCACAGTCGGAGTACAGAATTTATCTTTGCCGTAATCCAAATCTGACATTGAATATCTGAAATACGACATAAAGGTTTATTAATCCGAGAATCCAAAATCTTTATTAAACCTATGTAATACCGTCTCTTTCTCTTCTCTTCTTGGCTCGCGGAGGTACATTCGCTTAAAAAGATTCTGAGCACAGACCACATTAGCCACTTTTTGTACTGACACCGTACGTGTTTGTTATCCCATATAGTCTATAGTACTATATTGTACCGCACGTGCTACGAGATGCTAGAATCAAACGGTACGCAATTATACTAACCGACATCCCCGCAAAGCGAGAGTCCCATAGTAAACCGGTACATCACGAAAATCTCAATACAATTAATATTATTCGGCTCCTAGCTATCTAATATTACACCCTAGCCTTTTCTAATTCTTACCTATATAATATATTCGAGAGAACTTTTATAGAGGTTTATATATTATATTTTAATTATAATTAAGCCTAACCTTACTTATTATAGCTCGGTTATAATATATAAAGAGAGATACTAAGCAAATATAACAGATGGCCTTTGAGCTATTACATATACTAGAGGCCTAGAAGAGAAGGGGTACTATATAGAAAAGGCTTAGTATTAAGGGCTATAGTATAGGCTTAATACCTCTCTATAGCTAGCCTATAAGAATAGTTCTTTTAGCCTATATATATATTCTTATATATCTTTATAGTAAATAGGTTAGAGTTCTTATATTATAGGAGGCATGTAATAGGCACGTGAGTAGGCCTAATACAGACTAGTTTTGGGGTATATATAATATTTCTTATATATATAATTAGTTATAAAGCTTAAGAGGTTTAGAGTTTAGCTTATTAATATATTTATATTCCTTACTATTCTAGTATTCTCTCTATAATTCCCTATTATTTAGGTACTTAATACCTTAAGAAATAAATTACCTAATATCTAGAATTTAAAGCTAAGGAAAGAAAAAGAGAAATTGAGAGCAAGTAAAATATAAATAGCTTATATATCTTAAGATCTTATTATATGCCTCTAACCGAGCCTTTATTAGGGATTTACTAGACTAGTACTATAATATTACTTTTTTATACTATGAATTTTTAATACCTTATTAATATTCTTATAACTAAAGGCTTTAGTAATTTAGTAATAAGTATTTTACTTAGTTTATAAATGTTTTACTTAATATTTTATTTAAGAAAGTAAGTTTTTATCTAATAGAAAAAGATAGCTATTAATAAAAAAAACTACTTTTAGTTATAATTATTCTTTTATAAAATGCCTATTACTTTTAGGTAAGTATTACTACCTTTATAGCCATATTATAACTAAAGAGTTTTATAGCCTTAGAAATTAATAGTTAAAAGTTAATAGTTAATAATTACTAGAGAATATTTTATAAAAGAGATAGTTGCATTTATTATAGTATTTAATAAGAGTAATATCTTGAATTTTACTTAATTAAAATATAAGAAATTAGTAAAGAGACTATTACTAGATTCAAAGCTATTAAGTAACCAGATTATACTAAATATCTCTACTAAGCCTTTCTAAATAGCCTAATAAACTACTATAAATTCCTAAAAATACATTTAATAACTTATCTTATTAGGATAATTACGAGGCTTTTAATTATTAAAAGATACTAGAAGAATAAATATATACTATAAATATTTTATATATTTATAACTTCCCTTATATTCTTTTATATAAAGTTTTTACTATTATAATTATTTAATTAAATAAGAGAATCTCGGGATAAAATCTAAATAAAAGAATATAACCGGAGCTATATCTAATTATAATAGCCTCTTTTCTAATCCTTGAAACTATAGGTTAATATTTCGGGAGAAGCTAAAGAATATTCTTACTATTTTAAGTAATTCAAGATTTACTAGTATATAAATAATATATTAACTAGTTCGGGGTTTAAATAGAAATAGAAAATTAATTCAAAGTAATATAGCCTAATTCTATAATAAGACTATAGTTATTAGAACTAAATAATAATATTATAAGAGAAGTACTAACCTCGAGTATTTATTATAGTATATCCGTCTCGGTATCCCAGATCCGTATAATCCGGTTACTCGAACTAGATGCCAGCTGCTATTTATTAGGAGAGAAAGTAATTAAGTAGACCGGGCTCATATAGCCCTCGAGCATCTGCTATAGTATGCCTGTCTCGGTATCCCAGATCCGTATGGTCCGGTTATCCAAGCCAGATACTAGCCGCCGCCCGTTAGGAGAGAAGGTGACTGACCGGACCGAGTTCGTATAGCCCTCGAGTGTCTGCTATAGTACGCCCATCTCGGCATCCCAGATCCGTATGGTCTGGTTATCTAACTTAGGTACTATCTCGCTACCCGAACTAGATGCCAGCCGCCGCCTATTAGGAAAGAAGGTAACTAATAAGACCGGGCTTATATAGCCCTCGAGCGTCTGCTATAGTATATTTATTTCGGTATTCCAGATCCGTATAGTCTAATTACTCGAACCAGATACTAGCTGCCGCCCGTTAGGAGAGAAGGAGACTAATCGGACCCAGTTTATATAGCCCTCGAGTATTTGCTATAATATGCCCGTCTCGGTATCCCAGATCCGTATAGTCTGGTTATCCGAGCCAGATACCAGCCGCCGCCTATTAAGAGAGAAGGTAACTGAGTAGATATAGTTCGTATAGCCCTTAAGTATCTGCTATAGTATGTCTGTCTCGGTATTCCAGATCCATATAGTCTAGTTACTCGAACCAGATACTAGCCGCCGCCCGTTAGAAGAGAAGGTAATTAACTAAATTAAGTTCGTATGGCCCTTGAGTATATACTATAGTGTATTTGTCTCGGTATCCCAGATCCGTATGGTCCGGTTATATGAACTAAATGCCAGCTACCGCCCGTTAGGAGAGAAGGTGACTAAGTAGATTATGTTACTATAGAGCTCGAGCGTCTGCTGCAGTATACCCGTCTCGGTATCCCAGATCTGTACGGTCCGATTACCCGATACTAGTCGCCGCCCGTCAGGAGAGAAGGTAACTGACCAGACCGGGCTCGTATGGCCCTCGAGCGTCTGCTGCAGTATGCCCGTCTCGGTATCCCAGATCCGTATAGTCTGGTCATCCGAGCCAGATGCCAGCCGCCGCCCGTCAGGAGAGAAGGTAACTGAGTAGACCGAGTTTGTATAGCCCTTGAGCGTCTATTATAGTACACCCGTCTCGGCATCCCAGATCCGTACGGTCCCATTATATGAGCCAGATGCCAGCCGCCGCCCGTTAGGAGAGAAGGTGACTGACCGGACCGAGTTCGTATGGCCCTCGAGCGTCTGCAAGCATGGGCTCCAATTTTCTTCGATCAGTGGACTCGTACTAATCCATGATGGCTGTCGGAAGAGAGTTCTAATCTTGCTCATAGAAGGACTAAACACGAGAGCCGACACATAAGCCTGGAGAGGCGAGTTTTCGATAATGCCTTTATTATAAAGAACAAATCGATTCGCATCCCGTACTATGGAGAGAGTATCCATAGCATTATTCGGGTTTTGCTTGACAAACTTAGCTCAAAGAACTTGTATCAAAGGAACGAGAGCGAATTCTTACGTCAAGCAGATTCTCTAGCTTTCTAATCGCAGCCACTACACTTGACATGCTTCTCATTAGGCTGAGCGCCTCTAGCCAGTAAAGAAAGTACTCCTTTAGAAAGACATTAATTTTGCCCTTATCGCCGAGGCCAACTTCATCGTGACCGCCCTTAATCTTGCAAAGATAGTCGATCTAGTAGACGCAAGCGTATCGAATCGGGGCGAGGGGATCTGGATCGGGGGGCTTGACTCTCTCGATAGAACAACCTGGATCCTGCAAGCTATAGGTATCCTTTCGCAGTATCATTAACATAGCTTGAAGCGACCGTGATACTATCGTGCAATGTCCTTCTGCGTGCCTATGGGGAAAGATCTCGGACTTTGCGTACTTAATAAGGTAGTCTTTTACCGACTAATGAATAAAGTAGACGACGCTTTCTCGAATTATTAGAAATGAACCACAAAGCCTAATGACTTCGTATAGTGATTTGCTATTATTAGAGAGGTAGGCTAAAGATTTAATAAGAGAGGCGAGTTCTATTACCGTAATAGGTTAATATACAGTCATTACGAGGGCTAGTATGCCCTTGCAGAGCTAAACGTCGTCGACATCTTCCAGACTACATATCTGCCCTATTATCCGCTTATAGAGAGAGCCAAGTCCTAGTGGAAGCATTTCTAGTATTAATAGAGCTTTCCGGCGAGAGGTTTCTTCTAGTTTTTGACAGACCAAAGCTACCCAGAGAAACGTATTATTCGCGTTTTTGGACAAGTGGTCTTGAACGGCATGTTACATTTCGTTATCGTACTTCTTTAGCTGGGCTAACCGATCCACTTTGTACTAGATATATATGCTTACAGTATTGGAAACAGACTCTGCGTTTAACTCGAGGCATAATCATACTTTCTGTGCGGCTATTTCTAGACGCTCCTCGATATTAGGCCAATTGCGACTGGAGACGATCCACTTTATACGGGAAGATATAGATGACTTCTGAGTAATAAATTCGAGAAGCTTCGGCAAATCTATTACGCATTCGTCGAGCGCGTCGATGATCAAGTAGGTGCTTATTAAGCTGGGGTCTTGCAAGATGCTACTAAAGATTTCAGACAAGGCCACCCAAGCATTTGCATCCTCGAATAGTGATCTGCCTACATGATTATACTTTTTCCGCACGTGTGAAAGGAGCGATGGCTGCTATTCGAGAAGGAGATAGATCAAGCCGCGCAGCACCGCCGTAGCATTATTGATTCGCGAGTCGGTGCCTTGGGAGAAGAAAAAGGACAAAAGACTATCAGCGGGAGCCGACTTCAACTCGTTAATAATGCCGCAGAGAAGCATCGTTTTGCCCTTGCCGGGATCGCCCTTGATCCAGAGCAGCCGGCTCTGTTTGTCGTCGCGCCATTATTGGAAGTCGGAATGTTCGAGGATCCAGCGATACGAGTCTTCCAGCAGGCCACCTTTCGTCTCCTCGATGCGCGTCTTGTCGTCGCGGGGATCGGTCGTCCGCAGGTCACGTAGACAGTTCTGGGTCTGGGGGTCGGGAAGATGCTGCTGACTCTGGTGTTCTGCTGAGGAAAAGGATCAGTCAGGCACGGCACTTGAATCTGGGGGTTGCTTTAAGTTTATAAACATACTAATTATGTTGACAGTCGAATTTGGTACATTGACTAGTTCACATACGTTAAATCTAGACATGGTCTCGTATCAGACTATTTCTTACTGCCAAAAGTCGCCCCACCACTGATTATATTGTGATAGAACTCTCCACGTCCTGAATTGATGTTTGTGTTTCCTCCAGAGGTCAAAATGTTGTGGCCACTACCGTAGCTTGTTTGGTTAACACTCCCAGTCTCGTCCTGGAGAGAGGGAGGCATTTCGTCCATCTGCTTAATCGCCTCTTCGATCTCCTTCACTTGGGCTTCGGTAGCGGTTCCCATTAGCCTCCCGCATGCAAGCACTTGAATGTCCTTCAATATTCCTTCCATTAAACACTCCACTTTATCCCCTTTCCCTAATATACTCAAGGCTTTCTTGTATCAGTCGTACCACTTGTCGTCATCGTCCTGAAAAACTTTCTGGAATATTTCCTGGAGCTTCTCGGTCTTCGCCTTGCATGACTTCAGGATATGTCCCAATACCACCTCTGCCGTCTCGTCGAGCGCTTGTGCCCTTGTTTTAGCGCTGCGGAGAATATCGATGGCTAGTGGCAGTCGTGCAGCCACCTGGCGAAATGCCTCTGGCTGACCTTTCGCGTCTTTAGCGGTATTATATACCGTTTTAGTTGCCTCGATAATCGAGATTACGGCTGAAATGAGGCCAACGACAAACCCAGCCTCAGCGCCTGACATGGCAATCGACGACGATTTCGGTGGGCGTATCTAGGCTATTAATGTACTATAATAACTCGTTAGTTATTTGAAAGCACCGCGAAAGTTGGCTCTTGAATTTACATACCCGGACGAGGCTACCAGATCAGATCGTGGGTATGTAGGTTTTGCTAGGTGCCCAGGGCGTTTGCAGAGGAGTGAGGCTTGGAAAACTCTCGTTGCAAGCGGGTTGCAGGCTGTCTTTGAATATTTTCCGTACGAGATCTAGGTTGCGGACAGCAGGAACGTCACTGGGTATATTCCTGCATTACCAGCGGTGCAGCGTATCCTTATGCATGTTCTCGGTAAAGCAAACTCTTGCAAGTAGTCTGAAATTTGCAATGTTGGTCCAAAGTAGGGCTAGTAATATGTATGGCTGGCTGAATGCAACGCTGCCCAACCATCGTAATCTCCCAGGAAGCATAACCTTCTATAAGTCGCGCGAAAGAGGAGCATAATAGAAGAACTCCCGACGTTTCCAAAGATCTGTAGTTAAAAGTTGAGAAAGGCCCAGACTAACGAATATATCATAACTCACTTTCTATCGAGCAAAACACATTTCCACTAGTGCCAAGATAAGATAGCTATCTATAATAAGTTCGAGGCAGTAGTCACAACTTCCACTATTAGCAGGGCCTTAGCATTAGCGGGCTGGTCTAAGAAAGCTGTGCACCGCATTACAAAAGAGCGAAATGCAGACCTGCGAGATTTTTACCTCTATAATCTATTAGAATTCCGTTTATATTACTTAGTTTATATTAACAAGTCTGGATATAATAATCGGATTGGGTTCAGGCGGACTAAATAGTCTCTTTTAGGAGTAATACCGGTACAAATTTCTTGGCTATACCGTAATTAAAGGTATCAGATCCTGCCGGCATATATATAGGATAGTATTATACTCGTATATGTATTTCAGGAATTAATAAATACCGCCGTCTTTAAGGATTTTATTAAGTAATTACTATATTATTACGGCAGGTAGCCTGAGCCAAAGTCTGTTCTAATTATGGATAATGCTTCGTTCTATTATTTAACCAGAATTGAGCAGCTATATAGGGAGGCTAGGATAAAGTTACTCTATCTGCTGCCCTATTCGCCCGACCTGAATCCTATTAAAGAGTTTTTTATAGAATTAAAGATATTTATTAAACGGAACTAGTAACGTTATATAAACGATCCCAGACAAGACTTTAAAGCATTCTTAGAGTGGTATATAGATACTATAGGGACAAGAAAGTCAAGTGCCGAGGGGCATTTTCGATATTCTGGGCTATTTATTAAAGAACCATAAAAGCAAACCATATAAATTTAGTCTTTAGAAATCCGCTCTTATTCCAACTTATATTATTTGGCCTATCTCTTAATATTACAAATAAATTACTATATAATTCCAATTTTTATTCCCTTATTATTATAAAATTAAGTATTTTATTTCTTATAAATTAACTCCAGGTCTAGACCTTTAGCTAATATTAATTAATATATCTTTTGGTATTTTATCTTAAGAGACTTATTAGTAATATAAGAATACTACTATTTACTATACTTCCTAATAATAATATCTAGTTATCCCGGAATCTTAAGAGGGCTAGAAGGCTTAAATAGTACTATTTCTATTAAGGTCTGAATTTAAGAGGTTAGAATATTAGTAATATTAATAGGTAGGAGACTAGCTACTATTAAAGCTTTACGTTTTTGCTACCGTTCTATATCTTATTATTCTTTAGTATAGAGTTATTTACGAATATTGTCTAGTATATTATTATAAGTTTCTAGGATCCCGCCTTTTTTAATATGCCTAATAAGGTCTTTTAGATAGTATATCTTGAGTTTATAGTATTTCTTACCGGTATTATTATATTAATAATAAGGTTCTAGGTTATAAAGTAGCTCAGGATATTATATAAGGTTATAGACATTATACTAGACTAATAACTAAGTAGTAGTATTCTCTTTAGTATTAAGTTATATGGCTCGCTTAGCGAGTATATATTAAGAGTACTTTTTTTTAGTATTCTATTAAGCTAATACTACTGCGGTATTACTAGTCTCTCTATATTTAAAGGATATATTAATCCTGAGTCTCTTTCTAATACGAAGTAGAGGGCTTCAAGTTTCGAGCTACTTCTCGAGAACTTTCTAGTTAATATTAAGATTATTAAACCGCTTATTAATATTATACTCTATATAGTCTGTAACGGATACTATAATAATTATTTTGTCTATACTAAAATACTTGTTCTATAGTAACTTTCAAGCAGAAAGCTTATTGAGTCTCGGTTATAAGACTATTATCTAGAAAGCACTAGAAGTAAGAATAAGATTCGGTTCTATTTCCTTTATAATTAGCTTCTTTTTAACTATTAACTTCTATTTAATAGAGTAATAGATATAGATTAGCGAGTGCTTATTATAAGTATTATTCTTGTCCTAATTAGCAAGCTATAGTAGTAGCAGAATACCTGAACTATAATATATTTAGCTTTAACTAGATAGGATAATATTAAGAGTATTCGTTCTGCTATATAGCGGCTAATTAGTAGTATTAAATAATAGTTCCTGCAGATAATTAGAGCTGCCTATAATTAATTAATAATACTTGTACTATAGAGAAACCTACTCTCAATTGCTTTTAATACTATATAGCTACCTAATAATTTAGCCGAATATTAGCCGCACTAATGATTTATACTAGTTAAATGACTAATGCCATTGCGATATCCGCCCCAAAAATATAGGTAATAATATTAATATATAGACTGGCGCTTTATATTATATATGAATCTGAGTATTATTTATTGCCCTGCTCTGCTTAATATTAGCTTCGACGGGAAGCTAGATAGGCCTGAGTATTCTCCGTTTCGCCTAATTATTCCCTAAAGCACTTTGAGCTATTAAGTCTTTTAATATCCTAATATAGATTATTAGATTCCTTGCATAATAAAACCACTCGGAGGGAATAATTCACTAGTCGCTATAACCGTATTAACGAGCCTATAGGTCAATGAGTTATATACCGTAAAAACGGATATATAGGACGGGCTTTGACTCTGGTAAGACCCCCTTAGTACCTGTCCCTCAAAGCCGTCTTAATACGTCGGAATCACAGGCCCCCTACCAAAAGCAATACTAAGCTCCCTCTATAGTATCGAGAAACGATACTAACTCGATCGTATCTAGTGCATTTTTCTATATGAATTGGCGGACGTCGAAACGATTAATTACAAGTATAGGCAGGCCAATATATGGATCATATATAATAATAATTCTTTAAAAGATATCGCTGCGGAATGGTAGGAAATGAGGGGTTACCGAATATAAAACAGGAATTCCTCTGGCCTAGGCTGAGATCATAATTAGTGTTTCAGAACTATACCTCTGTTCGTAATTGGATTACTATACGGCCTGTATATTGGGATCGAATTGAGGCGAGACGACGAATTTGAAGATGCTGCTACGCAGCAGATTTGTTCTACGGGCTCTCTGGCCGTATTTGACCGCTAGTACTATAACTCTATACTGTGATATGGGAAGCAAGGACTTGACGATAGTCCGGTACTACACCGCCACTTTCTCGGACATAAACCCATTATTGGATCCTTCATATGAGGCTGGCCGGTGGACTGGTAGTGTGATGAAGAAGTATTTGAGAGCAAACTCTCTAACGAATATGCTGTCCGAGGGCCACCTGATTAATCAATAAAATTCATAAATGAGGGTTATCTATGGCCCTAGTCGTGATAGAGATCAAAGAAGTGTTGCTATCCCCGGGTGCATATACTGCAGCAGCCTTTAACGGCGGTGCCCAGGTACTGCAGAGTACAAAGGATAACAAAGGAGGTACGGTATCAGCCAAAAATGGATGAGGTGGTCTGTACTCAGAATCTTTTTAAGCAAAAAGGGAGCGAAGCCGATTTTGCAAGCGACTATACTATATCCCTCCTCTCACAACTTCTCATATTAATAAGAAACTCTTTGGAGATGGTTTCAATTTGACCTTTGCAAGACTCTATATTACACAAATTAATAAGATAGAACATATCTTCCCCGTCTGGGCCATCGTTTGCGGCTGTCCTCCAGAACAAGCCGTAACTAGGCTTCAAGTACGTCCGAATATCTGACGACCTATATTATAATGCTCTACCAGACCTATCTTATAACTTAGTATAATGCTTCGACTCTCTAACGAGGTCCTACTAATAATCCTCGAACTCCTTTATTCTATAGACAAAAATTTTAATATATATGGTAATAAGCGGGATCTGTTTGCGAGTCGTACTACCTACCGGAGGCTAGTAGACCTGAGCCAAAGTCTCGTATTTAAGTATATTACTTTTATTTAAGACAAAAAAGGTTATAAAAGGCTTCTTGAGATATTAAAATCTCTATATATAAATAGGAGAATCCAATATCTGATATACTACTTTATAGACTTTAAACCTGATCTAATACCTAAATAATTCGGGAGGTCCCGGGAAATTCTTAGCTAGAAATAAGATAAGTTTAATGAGATATATAAGAAATATTATTGCGACTATTAATACTAATAATAGCTTATAAATAAAAATAAAAATATAGCTATTCTGGCTATAGTTCTACCTAATCTATATAATTTGTATTTAGTCAGGATTAAAAAAAAACATAAGTAATATAGCTAGTAATTAGGATAATAAAGACTATTTTCCCCTATATTTCCGTACTAGATAGTATTTCTTTAGGGCAGTTATAACTTCTCTATCTGTCTCTAGACTCGGTATTAAAGAGCTAATACTTGATTCCTTCCGCGGAGATACTAGTTCCTTACTAGGGGTTATTTAAGATCTGGCTACTACTATAGTATTTTACTAGCAGGTATTTAGGAACCTAAAATACCTGAAAATTCTCTTACTAGAAATCTTATATTACTAAAATAGCTATTATAAATAGAAATTAAATTTGGCTGGAATATTAATATTAATTCAAGTAGCTCTATTATTCGA